CCGCCTGAAGCCGTACTGCTCAGTCCTGATCGAAGAGAAGAACTCCTCGGGGAATCTCGCCAGGATGATCCGCTCCAGCATCTTGGAGAGCACAGGCAGGAGGGAGATCGGCCTGTGGTTCTCGGGGAAGATGTGGTCCTTGCCGGGCTTGGGGATGAGTATGACATTCGCCAGCTTCCAGGTGTCGGGGAAGTGGGCCAGCCTCACGCAGGAGTTGAAGAGGCAGGTGATGACAACAATCACCCAAGCCGGCAGGTTCTTCAGTGCTGGAGTCCCGAGGGAGTCCGGTCCAGGGGCCTTCTTCGGACGGAGTCGAGCGATGTGGCCCTTCACCTCGCTGACGGTCACGTGGGGGATGTCCTCTTCGTCGGAGTCCGGCTCGTAGGTCTCTACGAAGTCGTCCACAACCTCGCAGAAGTCTTCGTCGTAGACGTCCGGGTGTGGGGAAAACTGGTCTTCCAGCGAGTCTGCGAAGGTCTCTGCACGGTCTTCGGGCGAGTAGACGAGCCCGCGTCCCCCATGCAGCGGCCTGTTGTGGGTCTTCGTGCCGCGCAGAGCCTTGGCGATCTTCCAGATCCCGTCGTTGGTGTCAGCTTGTCCCTCGACGAAGTCCTCCCACTCCTGGGACCGATGCTCAGCCAGCAGTCGGGAGCACCTCCTGGCCTGCCGGTTGAAGTCCGCCTTCGCTCGAGGGCAGCGGGACTGTTGGTACGCCCTCCTCAGGCGACGTCGCAGGGCGATCTCCTCCCGCAGCCCCTGGGGAAGTGGCGGGGGGGCCCTCTGGTCAACGTCAGAGCTGGCGGCAACCACAGTGTCCTGCAGCAGCGTTGACAGGTCCAGGACTTGCTGGTCGAGCTCCTCTGCCGTCTCAGGTGGCGGGGGAGGCGGTCGAGGGGCGTTGGCCAGGAGGTTGGCGAACTTCGCCCAGTTCACCCTCTTCCTGCGGACCGGAGGGCGGTCGGGGACTCCTCCCTGCGGCAGGTCGAAGATCACCGGGACGTGGTCAGAAGAGAGGTCGGAGACGACGAAGACTTCAATCGGGCCATCGAACGAGCCAGCCAGTCCGATGTCCAGGATGTCGGGCGGGTGTCCAGCACGGGAGTAGTGTGTGGGGTCGGCCGGGGCAACCACGTTGATGTGAGGGTGGGCGGTGAGGTAGCGCCTGAGAGCAGCTCCAGTGAAGTTTCCTCTCCTGCAACCCCAGTCCAGGTGTTTGGCATTGAGGTCGCCTGCCAGAAGCGCCGGGGTGTCGGGGGGCAGCAGCAAGTCCAGGAGTCCGGGATCAAGGCGTCTCCCTGGGGGGTTGTAGGCAGAGGAGATTTCCAGCTCTGCACCGTCGTGCTGGAGGGCGATGGTCGTCACCTCGATGCCAGGCGGGAGGTTCCTGACGATCGGTCTGTGGGTGACCCGACGATGAACCAGTATCGCCGAGCCACCACTGGCACGTTGTTGCAGAGGCCTGTCTGTCCGGTGAGTGTAGTAGTTTCGGACGTTGAACCTGTCCCCACCGCGCAGATGCGTCTCCTGGATGAGGGCAACGTCAACGTCCATGTCATTGAGGAGTTGTGTCAGCTCATGGCGTCTGTCGGCAAGCCCGTCGGCGTTCCACGTGAGGATGCGAAGTTTACGCATGATGTTGGGTCAACTGGTCAACAAGTCGCTCGACGACGACCAACATGCTCCTCAGCGTGGAGATGAGTTGAGCCAGCTCAGACTGCTGCGACGGGCTCTTGGACGACTGGGCCGGGGTTGAGGCCGGCTCGATAGGCTGGGCAGGGCGGCTGGGCTGCGGGGCAGGGCTGCTGGGCTGCGGGGCTGGGCTGCTGGGCTGCGGGGCTGGGCTGCTGGGCTGCCGGGCAGGGCCGCTAGGCTGGCGAGGTGGGACTTCCAGGCGAGGGCGGGGAGTTCGCCTCACTCGAGGGTTCGGGGTCTCGGCCGGGGCGGCGGACTGCTCCACAGGAGGGGTGGGTGTTCGGGGTCTCGGGCCGGAAGCTCTGCCGCGGTTGTCCGGGTTTCGAGGAGCTCGACGACGTCTTCTCCGCTGAGTCCGGAAGCCCTCGTCATCGACCTCGGGAGCCCCAGGCGCCTCTTCGTCCACTGGGTCAGGTCTCGGAGCCGGCGGGTCGACCCGGCGCGGTTGACGGCCCGACGGTGCCGTGGACGATTTCGCCGCAGCCGCGTACGAAGCCCGTTGCAGAGTCTTGTAGCAGGTGCAGCCCCTGTAGTTGGCAGTGTGGGCCTCACCACAGTTGCAGCACTTCGCCTGGGCTGCTGGCTCCTTGGGGCACTCGGTCGCTGGATGGGTGTCCCCGCAGCGGACACAGCGGACCTGGCGGTGGCACTGGCCCGATCCGTGGCCGAAGCCCTGGCAGCGGTGGCATTGAATGGGTCCGTTGGGCCGCTTGTACTGCCGTACTTCCACCTTGCAGTAAAAGGCTCGCCTTATTTCATACACAGTGGACGGCAGGGAGTATCCTTCCGTCCTGCGGATCGTGAGGAGCCAGAGGCCAGTCGGCATTCCTCGGCGAGTCTTCATCATTTTCACTTCGGATATGTCGAAGTCGTGAAATTCCGCCATAATCTCATCTGGTGCTAGCGTCGGCGGCAGGCCCTTTACCACCACCTTGAGCAGCCGCTCTGTGCGTAGGGCGAAGGTGTGGAACGGTACTCGCTCTTGCTGCAGATACCGCTGGACGGCGCGGAAGTGGGGTACAGTGTCCACCCTGATCCGCAGATTCTTCCCCGTACATGAGGCGTCGAATTGGCCACCAACCAGTTGGCCGATGGCGACGGCGTGGGCTGGCCAGCTCCGCGGCATGTCCAGGAGGATAGGCGGAGGCCGTGGCTCGTTCCGCGTCGGGGCCGGATCATCCTCCATGTCGGAGTCAGCGGGTGTCTGGAAGGTGTCTTGGCCGGTTTTGCGGGCCTTCCGCTCGGCAGGAGGAGTCGGGGACGCTCGCCTCTTGTTGGTGGTCTGGTGGCCTTGATAAACGCCGTTTTCTCCAGACGACGGGCAGGGGTTCGCCTGGCAACTGTTCCCCTCGCCGCCAGTGAAGACGAACGGGCCTCCGCCAGGGGTGGCAGTGGCGCACCGTTGGTCGACACCCGCTCGGGTCACCGCAGCAGCGGTCTTCCCCCAGGCACTGATCTCCGTCCCCGTGAGGGGAAGTCCCGGGGGGGTGGAGTTGCTGGGCCGGGCGGCGACAGAGTTAGAGAGCCGGGCGGCGGCCAGGCCGGGGTGAGCTCCGCCGGGGGCTGGAGACATCTGGTGGCCTTTACTAAGGCCGTTTTTCTGGTCCGCGGGTGGTTGTGAATCAAAGCTCCACACAGAAGCTGGGGGTCGGTCCGTGTCCGAAGTCGAGTCCGTGGGCGATTGGTAATCTGAATAATGTTTCTTTCTAGCAGTTGGCTGTGTATGAAGCTGTATATGAGCCGGAGGTTCATGGGTTCGATCCTTACCAATCACAATATTTGCTGAGTTTTATTTACATATACCTATAATATACTGCAGTCAATAAAAATGACAAAACAAATGATAATTCACGTATCCAATGTTAAAAACAACTGAAAGAAGGCTTAAACGGAACTTTACCATTGAACATAAAAAACGGCCTTTGTAAAGGCCACCAATATGTTCGATGTTAAACTTACATTTCATAGATGTAGTATTTTTAGGTGTAGTATTTTTGGGATGATTGGTAATCTGAATAATGTTTCTTTCTAGTAGCTGACTGTGTATGAGACTGTGTATGAGCCAGATGTTCACGGGTTCGAACCTTACCAATCACCAAACGTTTTATTTCTGGTCGGGGTGAAATGTTGATTTTTGGTATGGTGATGTATCATAGCGGGAGTAGCGTTAGTCGTTGATCTAAGAGGTTCACAGGTTCAATCCTTACCAATCACATTTACAATATTTGCATGGGGAGATGAGGTTACGTTACTTGGCGGGAAAATAAAAGTGAGGTTAGAACACGTGTGAGGATAGACCACGTGGGACACCAGGGGGCATGGCTTAAGGTTACGTTATTTGGCGGGAAAATAAAAGTGAGGTTAGAACACGTGTGAGGATAGACCACGTGGGACACCAGGGGGGCATGGCTTAAAGGAAATACTGCTCTCTGATTGGCTGGGGAATGCTGCTCTCTGATTGGCTAGGGGGCGTGGCCTAGGTGGAATGCTGAGCTCTGATTGGTTAGGGGGCGTGGCCTAGGTGGAATGCTGAGCTCTGATTGGCTAGGGGGCGTGGCCTAGGGAGGGGTGGGGATGAAATGCTGCTCTCTGATTGGTCCCCGCAAGAGCTGGGTAGCCTACTGGGAGTCTATTGAGGGTAACATATCAAACTGGTTGTAACTTGGGGAAATTTTATCTTCTGTAAATGTTCATTTGCATTACACTGGTTATTTTGTGAGGTTAGCTTCATTTACGTGATGTGGAAATGCTGTATAGTTAAGTGAGACAAGAACCATAGAGTTTGGACCTCGTGTGTTCCAACTAGGAAAAAACCGCACCTGTGAGTATTATACACGCTTTGCTTTGTTCCTCAATCATCCCAAGCTCTTTCATCAAAGAATGTACCTGTACCTAGAGAAACTATCAAATCATATTTCAAACAGTTTCACTAATGAAAATTACCAAAAATAACAAAGAACTAAATCATACCAATATTAAAATTGCCAGCAGAATACATCCAAAGTCAAGGTAGCAGAAGAAGAGACAGGTGCTCGGAAGAAAATATCTGATGATGCAAAAACAGTCGTGGCAACAAAAATAGCGACAATAGCAACGGATACAGCAACAGATACACATCTTTTAAATGTATTTGTTGACAGATGTTTACAGTTAATTTAAAAATGACGAATGAATTTTTGAATACTTGAATACTTGAATACTTGTCTTCTACATCGTTGACCGACATGTCGGATAGATTGCGTCATGTTACTATTTACATATTAACACTATAAAACCATTAAAAAAGTCTAAATATACTTTTACTACTACTTTTGTGGCGGACGTGTCACGTTAAAAAAAGTGGTTCACTCTCCAACTCATGCAAGGCGTACAATGGCCTATTCAGCAGTCCCTCACGTATCTCCCTCTTAAAGTCTGGCAGGTCCATGTCACGCACTCGTTTAGGCAAGGTGTTGAATACCCTAATTGCCGAACGCGGGTAACTCCTCATTGTCTGTGCAAGTCGGCACCGAGGCATGTCAAGGTCTGGGGCTCTGCGGGTATTGTGGGTGTGGACCTCCTCCCTCCTGCCAAAGAGTCCCACCTTGTCCTTGAGTAGTACAAGGATGTCGAGGATATACTGGCTGAATACAGTAAGCACCCTATGCCGGATGAATATAGGGCGGCAGTGCTGCTTGTAGCCAGCAGATGACACTATCCTCATGGCTTTCTTCTGGAGCAGTAGGATGTCATGGGCTGCCGTAGAATGGCCCCATAGGACAAGGCCGTACGACACATGGCTGTGGAAGAGGGCGTGATAGACCATCAGCAGAGAGGGTTGACTTAAAGTAGAACGAAGTCTTCTTAGTAGGTAGGTAACTCTAGATAGCCTAACACATACCTTGTCTATGTGATGCTTCCAATTTAACCTGGGGTCAAGCCAGAAGCCCAGGAGTTTTACAGCCTCATCTTCCACAACAGGTTTGAGGGTACACAGGATGGTCTGTGTCTTGTCCTCATTCACCTTGAGCCTATTGACGGCAAACCAGCTCTTCGCTTCTTCCAGTAGGACAGTAGCTTCTCCACGGAGATCCTCTAGGTCTTTCCCTCTAGAGAACAGAGTAGTGTCATCAGCAAACAGTAGAGTACGGTTGTTAAGTGAGAGGTCATTAATCATGATAGTGAAGAGCACTGGCCCCAGCACCGAGCCCTGCGGCACGCCGTGAGGTATGCTGCCAACGCTGGAAGAGGCACCTCTCAGAGTAACATACTGCTTGCGGTCACTCAGGTATTCAGTCAGTGAGCCAAGGACTGCGCCACCCACCCCATACCTACTCAGTTTAGCAAGAAGGATTTTGTGGTTTACGACATCAAATGCCTTGCTCAAATCGCACAAACTTAGCAGGACAGACTCACCCTCCTCAAAAGCACTGGAAATAACGTCAACAAGGCTTAAAAGTGCAGAAGTGGTCGAGTGTTTACCTCTGAATCCGTGTTGGGCTTCCGTCAGAATGGCATTACCTTCCAAGTAGGCTATGAGTTGTTTCTTCATAACGGTCTCTATCACCTTGGAGAAAGATGGGAGGATAGATATCGGTCTGAAGTTGGACAGGAGTGAAGGGTCCCCTTTCTTGTAGATGGGTATCGTCCGGGCTATTTTTAAATTGTCAGGAAACATACCCTTAGCTAGGCAAAGATTGATCAGACCTGTGAGGGGTGGTGCAATTAAGTCTATTACAGATTTTAAGATATTAGTTGACACTCCATTTACATCTTGACTTGCCGAGGCTTTGAATTTCTTAACGGTAGAGATAATTTCATTGACACTCACCTTCGTCCAGCAGTTAAAGTTGTGTGTTTGGGTGAGATCCTTAACCGAATCCAGGGGGTCTGTCTGCAACACGGGTATATTTGTGATGAGTTCATCTGCTACATTTAGAAAATATGTGTTGAAATCATCAGGGGTGGCCAGAACTTCAGGGCCAGGACAAGGAGACCTGCAATCATTCACAATGTCCCATGCAGCCTTGCAAGGGTTGGGAGCGTTGAGGATTTTATCTGCATTAAACTTCCTCTTTGCATCCCTGACCTTAACACCATAGTCACACTTAATTCTACAGTAAAGTAAGTAATATCTCTGCCTGATATTGTCATCTGTTGCGCCCTTAAAATGATCATGAACAAGTAGCATGAGCTGTCGTAGCCTACCCAGGTCAGGGGTGTACCAATCCTTTGAACCTTTGGTGCCTTTGTGGTTTTTACCGGGAGAACTAGACATTGGCTTGGGCCGACTAATTTTAGGTGGATATACAACGTTAAATTTATCACAAAAAGTCTCAGTAAAAGCTGCAAAAGCAAGTTTGGGGTCAGAAATTGCTTTCAGGAAGTTCCAGTTTATAGCAGATAATTCACTCCTAAGCAAGGGAAGCAGATCCATGTTTATTGTTCGCTTAACAACAGAGTATTTGTCTATCCATGAGGAGGAAGGGCTTACCTTAGTAGTCTTGACTGAGAGTACCACCGCACCGTCGTGGTCTGCAATATGAGGCCTTACTGTATTTGTTGACAGATGTTTACAGTTAATTTAAAAATGACGAATGAATTTTTGAAATATCGTACCAATGGAAATCATAGAAACGAATTTCGTTAATTGTTGGTGATTACCTAAATTTATTTACTTATTACATATCAGCTTGTAGGCATAGGAGTATTTGTTATGTTTCATTACATAACCAATTAATATTTTACCCACTAAGTATTCAACTAGTTATTATAGAGAACCTTTTGTGATATTGTCACATTAGAATGTATTGCCAGGGAAGTTAAGCCAATTTCAGAAGTAAATCAGAACGATTTCTCAGTTTTGACATTTATGAGGATTTCATGAAATATCTGAAAGCAATAAACTATCTGAGTATCACAAGAAAAAACTTAACAAATTGTAATCCTAAAGCTTGACAAAGCTTCTTATCTACCATAACCAAACACTTTCAATCGCTTTTGGGTCAATTTTTGCCTCTTTCTGACCAACATGTTATCCTATATTATTTCTTGTATTCCAATAAAGAATTATACCAATAACTAATATGTGTTCATAGATGCGTTAATTTTTTGATCTTTAATATATTAACTTGTAAAAATAATCAAACGTCTTATGTTCAACCTGTTAATTATCACTGGTACCAATGATGAAATTGTTATTGGTATATTTCTTTTATGTATCTAGTTTTTATCATTATCATTTTGGATATTTACTGTAATTATTCATGTTAATACTTTATTGAAATTGTTATATTTTTCTAGTACTACTAATTGGTAAATATATTTTATTTTCAACGCATTTTTCTTTGGAATCTATGAATGTTAAATATTGCCAGAAAAAAGACGAAAGTGTGATTTTTTATTACTGTCCACTTCTACAGTACCGCGTAGAATACTACAGTATTTACATCGTAAAACTATATTATTTAAAATTTTTACAAAATATAAGTATATGTCAGAAAAGATCGTGGAATTTGTGAACAAAGACTTTAACACACATGTCCAGGGAAATTTGGAATCCTAAACTTGGGTGTCATAAGGAATTGTTTTACTATAACATATTATAGTGCCTTTTATCTCTACCCAGAAAAATTTAAATCCTAGTAGTTTTGTTTATTAAAACAAATCATTACTTTCAATCTTTATTAGAATAAAACAAGACATAGACATTCTTTTTGATCAACATGTTTATATAGATTTGTCGTATCCAACATTCTGCAAAATTTATTTTTGCAATTAGTTATTTTTGTGTAAACCCCCAAAATGTGGCCCTCTTACGATTATGCAATAAATACGTAAGAGGTTGGGAAAGCGACTTGTTAAAATCAATTTTGATATTATGACGGTCAAATAAATAAATGATTTTTAGCCTTGTTAATATTTTAATTAATAAAAGTTAATAATCAGTCATCTCATTGCTGGTTGGAAAACTATAGCACCTGTCTTTGCTGCTTGTTTAGTAACTAACAGTCCCTGACTCAGCTTCAGCAGAATCAACAATAGATTCAATAGCATTAATTGGAACATCCAGAGCCCAAACAGTCAGTGTTTGCGTTTACTCAGCAAGAGTACATTTAAAATGAGTGATTATTAGTGACCCACTGACCAATTGAAAAGCTTGTTATAAAATATTTTTGAGCAATTAATTATGTGTAACGAATCTCGTTAGTTCCTTGCAAAGCTGTATTTGTAATTTATTCATTGACTCAGGGCCCTGTACATGTACGAAGTATGTTTACCAAAATTATATTTAGTTTTTAGACATCTACAAATCATGCTTAAATGCAATCTGGTAAGTCTTTTTACTTACAATCTGTTTGTATATTACTTACTTAAAAGTCTTTGTTTAAAATAATTTGTTTAACATATGTTGTCAATAATAATTAAGCAATGATATTAATTGTAAACAGATATAGAATAAAAGAGAAACAACTTGAATGTTAAAAAATACTTTTTACTTTTTATCAAATTAAACATGGCGCAGTCGGTAAAGATTTGATTAAGAATAATATCAGAAGAATATACACAGAAATGGAATTTAACAAACCGGATATCCTAAGCCTTGAAGGCAACTTGGAGGAAAATTTTAGGACATTTAAAGAAGAAGTGGAGATATATTTTATAGCCACTGAAACCGAAAAGAAACCTAACTCTATACAAGCAGCAAGGCTTAAAAACCTACTAGGAAAAGAAGCATTGAAAATTTATAAAGATTTCAAACAAGATGAACCAGAAAAAGTAAAAACGATATTAGAGACACTAGAGAAGTATTGCACGCCAAGAAGGAATGAAATCATGGATATTTATAAGTTTTTCAAAAGAAAGCAGCAACAAGATGAACCATTTAATAAATTCTATTCGGACCTAAAAAATTTAGTCAAACCATGTAAATTTGAAGGACAAGAGGAAAAACTGTTGAGAGCTCAGATAATACTGGGATTAAGTTCAAAAAATGTCCAAGAAAAACTTTTGAGAGAAGATCTAAAATTGGAAAAGGTAATAGAAACCTGCAAAACGATGGAGTTAACTGAACAAAATATGAATGAAATCAATGAGAAGAAAGAAGTACTTCAAATTACAAATATTCATGATGAGAAGAAAGAAGTTCATCAAGTAACTAAAACCTTTGCTGGGACACGGAAGTTGGAGGACCAAACAGGTAAAAGATGTTTTAAATGTTACAGATGTGGTGGTAGTCATGGAAAACAACAATGTCCAGCTTGGGGTAAAATCTGTAGTAAATGCAAAAAGTCAAATCATTTTGCAAGTATGTGTAGGAGAAACTTAAATATTCTTTCTAATGAGAAATGTAACGAAGTAACTGATCAAAGTAGTAGTTCTTTTGTGCATAATTGCCAAGGCTATGAGATTAACACAGTTTGTGTAGTTTATTCCATTGGTAATCAAGAAAAAGCTTGGTATAAAAGTGTTAAAGTTGAAGGGTTCAATGTAAGAATGAAACTTGATACTGGGTCTGAAGTAGACATTGTCCCATATTCCTTTGTAAAACTAAATAAACTACAAAATAGGATGAAGAAAAACCTAAACAAACTAATTTCATTTGGGGGGTTTCAAATAAATCCAGTAGGATACATAGATGCACAGATTGAGACAGAAAATAAAATGGATGTTGTAAAGTTAGTAGTGGTCAGTGGAGAATGTACTCCAATCCTAGGGCTGAAATCTTGTCTAAGTTTAAATTTAATAAAGAAGGTAGATACTGTTGCTAATGGCTTATCAGTAAAAGAAGATGAAGAAAAATTAAAAATTTATAACAATTATAAAGATGTTTTTGATGGTGTGGGTTGTTTCCCTGACATTTGTAAGATAAAATTAAAGGAAGATGCAGTACCACAAGTAAGTTCTGCTAGAAGAATACCATACAAAATTAAAGATAAATTTGAAAAGGCATTAAATTCGCTGGTTGATAATGAAATTATTAAGCAAATTGAAGAGCCGGTTGAATGGGTCAATAATATTGTAGTACTAGAAAAGCCAAATGGATCTTTAAGAATCTGTATTGATCCTACACAACTTAATAAATATATCATAAGAGGTATCATAAGAGGTATATATCATAAGAGGTATGCAATTCCTTTGCTAGAGGACTTGGCTCCAAACTTAAGTAATAAGAAATACTTTACAATTTTAGATTTGAAAGACGGGTTTTATCATATAAAACTAGATGAAGAATCCAGTAAAATGTGTTCATTCAGCACAATCTTTGGAACTTACAGATTTTTGAGGGCACCTTTTGGCCTCTCTTGTGTACCTGAAATATTTCAAAGATTGGTACACAAATATTTCAAAGATATTAAAGGTCTTTCAATCTATTTCGATGATTTGTGCATTGCTACTGATACTAAAGAGGAAAATGATAAAATTATAAAGCAGGTAATGGAAAGAGCAAAACAGTATAATATTAGATTTAACTATAGTAAAATGCAATACTGTGGTAATAAGGTAAAGTATATTGGTGCTATATTCAGTGAACAAGGGATGCAACCGGATCCTTCAAAAATAGAAGCAATAAAGAATTTTAAAACTCCTACATCTAAGGTAGAATTACAAAGATTTTTAGGTATGGTAAATTACATCAGAAATTTCGTCCCTAATTTGGCTTCAATAGCATCACCTCTTAGAGATTTACTAAAAAAGAATGTTCCCTGGCAATGGTATGAACATCATTCTAATGCTCTTGAAAAAATCAAACAATCACTCTGTAGTAATCAGGTCTTAGGGAATTTTGATCCATCTCTTCCTATTGAAATACAATGTGATGCTTCACAGGATTCTGTAGGGTGTTGTTGCATGCAAAATGGCAGGCCTGTTAGTTACTTTTCTAGAAGTCTGACCACAGCAGAAGTTAATTATGCTCAAATTGAAAAAGAATTATTAGCTATTTGTTTTTCGTGCAAGAAATACCACAACTTCTTGTGTATGGAGAGAAATACCACAACTTCTCATATATATGGAAATGAAAATGTAACAATTTTTACTGACCATTTACCTCTGTTGTCAATTTTTAATAAGCCAATGTTTAAAATTGTCAATAACAGAATAAGAAGACTCAGACTTAAATTGATGATATACAGTTTTAAACTAAAATATTTGCCAGGAAAAAACATGCATATTGCAGATTTTTTATCTCGGAATGGTATTAAAGATGAGGTTGAATGGCATGAACCCTTAGATGGTATTGTGCATTGTATTGAATCTTCTGAAGTGAAGTTTAGTGATAGAAGACTTGAGGAATTTAAAGAGGAAACAAGAAATGATGATGTTTTAAACAAAGTTGTACAATTTTGTAAAACCCAATGGCCAAAATCTGTTAATGATGGTGATCTAAAGACTTATTTCAATATGAGAAATGATGTAACTCATCAAGATGGATTACTCTATTTGAATGACAAACTTATAATACCAAGTAAACTGAGGAAATTTATGCTGTC